GGGACAGACATACAACACACAACCGCATACAACACCAACCAGGGACAGACATACAACACACAACCGCATACAGCACCAACCAGGGACAGACATACAACACACAACCGCATACAACACCAACCAGGGACAGACATACAACACACAACCGCATACAACACCAACCAGGGACAGACATACAACACACAACCGCATACAGCACCAACCAGGGACAGACATACAACACACAACCGCATACAACACCAACCAGGGACAGACATACAACACACAACCGCATACAGCACCAACCAGGGACAGACATACAACACACAACCGCATACAACACCAACCAGGGACAGACATACAACACACAACCGCATACAACACCAACCAGGGACAGACATACAACACACAACCGCATACAACACCAACCAGGGACAGACATACAACACAGAACCGCATACAGCACCAACCAGGGACAGACATACAACACACAACCGCATACAGCACCAACCAGGGACAGACATACAACACACAACCGCATACAACACCAACCAGGGACAGACATACAACACACAACCGCATACAGCACCAACCAGGGACAGACATACAACACACAACCGCATACAGCACCAACCAGGGACAGACATACAACACACAACCGCATACAACACCAACCAGGGACAGACATACAACACACAACCGCATACAACACCAACCAGGGACAGACATACAACACACAACCGCATACAACACCAACCAGGGACAGACATACAACACACAACCGCATACAACACCAACCAGGGACAGACATACAACACACAACCGCATACAACACCAACCAGGGACAGACATACAACACACAACCGCATACAACACCAACCAGGGACAGACATACAACACACAACCGCATACAACACCAACCAGGGACAGACATACAACACACAACCGCATACAACACCAACCAGGGACAGACATACAACACACAACCGCATACAACACCAACCAGGGACAGACATACAACACACAACCGCATACAACACCAACCAGGGACAGACATACAACACACAACCGCATACAACACCAACCAGGGACAGACATACAACACACAACCGCATACAGCACAGAGGGGAAAAAAGCAAGAGTACAAAATTTGACTTTTTATTTCTCTTCTAGGTTTGTCTTTCTCTCCAGAGGGAAGAGGGGATGAGGAGAAAGGGGAAAGGGAGGACGGGAAGGAAAGAGAAGGGTTTAGAGAGATGACAACTCTCCTCTCAGGCTTCATATTATGACTCAAACACAAGCTAAGCACACAAGTGAGCTGCTCTTCAGATCTCTGGGATGGGACGCACAGTGACACCTACCTCAGAGAGCAGGCAGAACTAAATCAAAGATGCCAGGGGCCCAGTGGGTAAAGGCAACAGCCACCAAACCCGAAGAGCTGACTCTATCTCTGGGACCCACAGAGTGGAAGGAAAGAAGGGTCCCTGTGCTCCTGTGTACATGTTTGTATCTCCCTCTTACCTGAAACACACACACACACAATTTAAATACAAAAAAAATTAAGATTGCACTAAAAAATACTTTAGCGGAAGCTGGGCACAATGGCTCATGTCTTTAATTCCAGCAGTCAGTCAGGAGATGAGTGAGGCAGGAGGACTGCCTAGGCCCCACAGTTAAGTTAACCAACCAACAATCAACCAGTCACTTGGGCACAGCACTCGGCCTTCTACGTCTCACTCCCTACCTGCACAGAACATGCCGGACACATGACTTAGTCAGCATTAGTACTGACCATTAAATCCACTGCCTCCTGATCAAAAAGGAAGTTAGTTATATCATACTCAACAGGGAATCTGAATTAGCACGAAGCAACAGGTATTTCCTGCCAAGTTACTTAAGGATATTTTAGTGATAACAATTATCTCAACCCCAACCAGTTCTACAGTTTGTAGGGACTCAAACAAAATGCAAGTCTGAAGAGTTTCACAGTGGTGGCAGCAGAGCATGGGCTACATAGCCGCTCTCTTCCCGCCACTTCAATAGCAAATTTCAAGGCTGAAGTGAGACAGTCAAGATGTCCATGCCAAGGTCTCCACCCCAGAGGCAAATGCTACTTTGTGAAATGGCCCACTGTAGCAAGAGTAACATCAACCCAGAGAATCCAAAGTATGAGCATCCTTTCTCAGCCTTGAAGTCAAGGGCAGTAAAGACCTCAAGTTTTCTCTCACAAAAATCTATTACAAGATTTTAATTCCCAAGCACTGCCAAGCCTGTGATCCCAGGTTGGGGTGTGGGGTGGGTGTGAGGGGACTGGGTGGGGGGTTGTCACTGACAGGGTTTGAGGCCAGCCTGGGCTGCACAGACGACTTGCAGGCTACCTAGAGTTTACACAATGACATCCTGTCTCAAAACAAAAATAAAATATTTTAATTGCAAATGTCCTTAAGGCCTGTCATGGTCAAAGACAGAACTTTCAGAGGATACCTTTGTCCCAGTTTGCAGGAAATGCTGACTTCGCCACTGCTGAGATCATGAGCTAAGGTCACTCTGACATCAACAGACAGCTCGTCCTCGTCACGGAGTAGAAGCCCGTGGGTTGATGATGGAGAACCTCTCCATCACACGGGATCTCGAATCTGTGACTGTGTGATGCTCAACACTGCACAAGCTGAGAACTATCATCTACTGCGAAACTAGCACTGAGGACTGAGCCCAGAGTTCTACCAGGCCAGACAAGCATCTCAGCACTGAGAGCCATAAACCAACTCCTTCTCTCTCTCTCTCTCTCTCTCTCTCTCTCTCTCTCTCTCTCTCTCTGTGTGTGTGTGTGTGTGTGTGTGTGTGTGTGTATTTTTTTAACTTCTTAATCTGAGACCTGTACTGGCCTTGAACTTGTAATACTTCTGCCTCAGCTTGGTTACATGTGTGCCACTATGTCCAGTCAAAACTGGTTACTTGCTGAAAAGTCCAGGATAAGACTTGGGGAGAGACCTACAAGAGCCCAGAGAGGTCTCTGGACTGGTCTAATGGAGGATTCTATCAGCAGGTACACTGAGAGGGCGGGCTGGCAGTGAATCATTCTCTCTGGGGGCCTGTGTCATTATCTCTTTAACTCTTCAACACTCACTCTGTCATCTAATTAAGAACAATGACTCTCACAAAACCTTGTTCTGTCTGGATACCACCCCCTACGCTGAGGATGAAACCAGGGCATCCCACACAATAGACGAGTGTTGTACCGCTGGGCTTTCTTGTTTATTTTCAGACAGACTCTCATCAAATTGCCCAGGCTAGCCTCCAACTTTAGTCTTCCTGTTTCAACCACCTGGGCAGCCTGGGTTACTGGTGTTCACCACCACACCTGCCACGGAATTCTTTTTTAAATGACAAAAGTGACTTCTGACTCACTAAGGGTGTCCAGACAACTTAAAACACACAGGGCAAGCTGCACACCAACGCTTAGCACAACTGTTCAGACAGCAGGCTATGGAGTGGACCCAATGTTTGTCAACCAAAAGAACCAAAAGTCTTGACAATTACAGAATGTGAAGTCATTCAAAAGCAGGCCTTTAACAGACTGGCAAAGATGAACGAAGCCAACGGTGACAATCAAACCCGATTTCAGGAGTAATTACAAATCCTTATCTTGTTTGCTATTTGTTAGCTTGGAACTCAAGGGCACCAATACCTACAAAAAATGTTGCAGTACCATAAATGCCATAGTCTTGAGCCAGCTGATGGCTCAGCATTCAGGAGGCTACCCCCCAAGTTGGAGGCCAACCTGGGCTACAGAGTGCATTCCAGGCTAAGCAGAGGAACACAATGAAACCCTGTCTCAAAAAAAGTAAGAAAAGAAATGAAATGGAATGAAAAAAGAAAAACCAAGAAACCCAAACAACAAAATAAGAATATACATAGCCGGGTGGTAGTGGCGCACGCCTTTAATCCCAGCACTTGGGAAGCAGATGCAGGCGGATCTCTGTGAGTTCGAGGCCAGCCTGGTCTACAAGAGCTAGTTCCAGGACAGGCTCCAAAGCTACAAGAGAAACCCTGTATCAAAAAACAAGAAAAACAAACAAACAAAAAAAAGAATATACATATACAGCAAAAATTCTCAACCAAGTACTATTGACGTTTAGAGTTAGATAACTCTCCGTTGTGGGTGGGACACCATAGGACACAGCGGGGTCCCTGGTCTCCACCCAACTAGATAAGAACAGCACCTACCTCGCAAGTCTAACAACCAAAAATGTCTCTTTGCACTGCCAAATGTTCCCTACCATCTCCAAGGGAGAACCACTGAGTTTGTGAAATGACAATATATTTTTAAAAAACAAAAAACAAAAACAAGACGGCCAAAGCACTACAGACAGGGAGGGGCTCTAAGGGGTCTGAACACCAGAGATTCTCAAACTTTACATCAGCCATCCTGGGGAGCTCGTTAAATTCTGATTCCTAGGCCCATCCGCAGGACCATCAATCTAGACAAGGACTGGGTTTTCCCTCATCACTGCCAACATCCTCACCATTTCGGAAAGGTAGCGTCGGCCCCAGAACACAACGGCTTTGCCCAAGGTCACAAGGGAGTTAGAACCGGGCCTCTGAAGCCAACCAAGCTCTACCTCGGCACAAGGGTGGATGAAGTAAGGGGTGTGTGTGTGTGTGTGTGTGTGTGTGTGTGTGTGTGTTTCTCTTCCGCCTTCGAGGTCATAAAGCTTAAAGGTGCATTCTGGGGCCAGTCAACCTGAAATAAAAGATCCCGTCTTGGTACTCATTAGCCCGGTGGCCTTGCGCAAGGCAAGTAGACTAAGTAGGCTCTGGGGTCTCAGTTTCCTTCCCTGTTATGTACGCATCATTCCTAGCGATATCGGAAAGAGGACGCTAAACCAAAAGCCCTCGACATAAGGCCGGGTCTACAGGACTCGCTTGCTGCGGGTCCTTGCGGGGCCCACAAAGCTGAAGGGCTGAGCGGGGCTCGGGAAGGAGGCGAACCGACCCCAACTCCGCGCCGCGCACCTCACCTGGCCCCGCAGCTCCTTCTCCAGCTGCCGGTAGTCGTTGTTCCAGACCAAAAGGTGCAGCGGGAAGCGGCTGCTGGCGTCGCGGGCTAAGGACATGGCGAGGAGGCCGCGGCCCGGGCCTGACCGCCCGCCTGCCACCAGCCTCGACCCTACAGGGTCTCGGGGACCCGCCCGACTGGCCGGAGAGCGAGAGGAGGAGAGCGAGCGGGCGAGTGCGGGGCGCGGCGGGCGGGCGGCGCGGGCCTCCGAGGCCGGAGCGGGCGGCGCTGGAGGCCCGGGGTCGCGGGCCGGGCTGGGGACCGGCTCGGGGACCCGCTCGGCCGCGCCCACCCCGCGCCCCGCGCGCTCGCGCCCGCGCTGACAGCTCGCGAACCGACTGCCGCCGGCCGAACCGCTCCGAACAGGGAAGTGAGCGGGGCGTTCCACCGAGTGACACGGAGGGGGATGGGGCCCCGCGACCGACCCGAGCCCCGCTCCATGTTCCCCCGCCGCACCCCCACGCCGAGACACACGAAGAACACGGTTCTGTGGTACCGCAGAAACCCTCCGGAAGCCAGAGATCCCCACGTGAAAAGTTTAGGGTGCGCGCTCCCTAGCTCTGCCCCCCTGCTCCAGCCTCGTCCAGTGGTTCGTCCCACAACTGGGCTCCTTCCATTGGCTCAGAAGTCCGGGGGTGCGAGCCTGGACCAAACCATCTGGCTGGTGCCGTCCACGAAGCCATTTTGGATGTGGGCAACACGAAATAGTTTTCACGGAAGAACTGAACCCTGGAGAGGAGACACCAGATACCCTCATAACGGGGTAGCCGTGTCTCTAGGCTTCTACACTTTGGAATATTTGAGCTGGGTGGTTCTTTGCTGTGGAGGTTATGCTTTGTAGAGGAGGGCGAGCGCTGCCTATTCAATGCCATCAGCACTCTTCCCCCAAACTGTCCCCAGACAGTTGTCCCCTGGAGGAGAAAAATCGCCCAGTTGAAAACCACTATTTTATCTGAATTCCCAACTCGTCTACAATTCAAAGTACTTTCCGTGAACGTTTGTCCTGCATCAGTCTCATTAAGCTAGTCGTTCAGATTTAGAGTTGCGGCCCAAAGAACATTCAGGCTGGCCCACAATATGCACAAGTAAAATCCGTCCTCTGGATTGCGACTGCAGGCACTATATCTTCTTGACACATGAAGAGCCAAGTGTTATGTCTGCCTAGATATTTACAACTACCACGAAGTTGTCCCGCTTCCTTCTTGGTTCCGACATACATTCAGCTTTTCAGATGATTGCAACGGCCGGTCAAGAATTCTGACCAACCTAGTCCATTCTCTTCGGGTGTGAAGTCCTTGAAGAATGACTGAAGGATTAATAACTTTAAGATGGTACCTAAAAGCGTCAATGGAGGAGTGTGTGGTAACCATCAAACTTCTCATGTGAGAGATGGACATGACCCTTGCTTCTGGGAATGGCTAAATGAACTTAACTATATTATTATCTCCAGGAGATTGTATGTTTAGAGGTTTTTTTGTTTGTTGGTTGGTTTTTTGGTTTTTCGAGACAGGGTTTCTCTGTGGTTTATGGAGCCTGTCCTGGAACTAGCTCTTGTAGACCAGGCTGGTCTCGAACTCACAGAGATCTGCCTGCCTCTGCCTCCCGAGTGCTGGGATTAAAGGCATGCGCCACCACCGCCCGGCTTATGTTTAGAGTTTTTATCACAAGGTTTTACTTCTTACTCTGGTACTAATCAGTACTGGATCCAGGAATCACTTTAGTAAGGGAGAGCCCAACTGCGAGAGTATTTAGAGATAGGTAAAGGATGCTCGGGCTGACTTCTGCCCTCATTCAAGATGGCGATAAGGAAGCGTGCCCTTTCCGGTCACATGACCCGCCAGGCTCAGCAGGACGTCTCCCCGCGCGTGCGTAGTGTGCCGGGGCTGCTAGGCGCTGAGGGGAGAGGCGCCGTCAGCGCCGCCCGGGGACCCGTTAGAGCGGAAGCGCAGCCGCCGCCTCTATAGTCGCGGGGCTCCCGGCAGGTGAAGCGGGAACCATGTCGAAGCGGCTCCGGAGTAGCGACGTGTGCGCCGACTGCAGCGGCCCGGGTGAGTGACGCCGGCGGGGCCCGCTCGCCTCGCTCTCGGGGCCGGGACCCCTGGCGGGGCGGTCCCCGCGGGCGGGGGGGTGACTGCGGCCCAGCCACACCGACCCCCAGGCCGCCCGGGCGCGAGACGACCCCGAGCCTGTCAGCCTCGCCACCCGGGGGTCCCTCCCTCCCGCGGCCCGGCAGAGGGCAGAGGCGACGAGCCCGGGAGCGGACGGGACGGGATGGCAGCCCGGAAAGCCAGTGACAGGAGTCAGACGCGGGCCGCCCGAGGCTGCAGGTGTTTCCCCTTCCCGGTCCCCCGGCCTGTGAGTGTGCGCGACCGCTCGGCTGCGCTGCCCGAGGGGCCCCGAGTGGACGATTGCCCTGCGCCCGGCAGACACTCCTGGGGGACAGCCCTAGCTCGGGGTCTGAAGTTTGAGGATCTAAGTTTCCACCAGATTTCGCCTCTACATGACCTTGGACTGATGGCTTTACTTGCTCAACCTGATTTCCTCGTTTTTCCGACGGAAACTATCAATAGTACAGCGCGCAGTAGTCAGTGGATAGTCCCTAGGGATCATCTCTTTTGTATGGTGGTACTCAGTTCAAAACCCTTGTAGTTCCTTCAGCTACAGTTTGGCTTTACAGTCGTACCACACACAGCCGTAAACTCGGGGACATCGAACGACCAAACGGTTCTTACTGCAAATAGTATTTGGATTTGAAGATTGGATCTGACTTAGTAATTGGAACCCAATTGTCAGGTCTCAATTCAGATTTTTTTGTGTGTGTGCTTGTTTTGGGTCTTGGACTTGATTAACTTCAAGTTTGAAGTCACTTACATATTTGATGACTTTCCTGGTACAGTAGTGTTTAAATAATTTTAATTAAGTCATTGAACTCCAGCCGTTTGCAACTGTTTTTATCTTCATCTTGTCATTTAGAAGCAGAGGCTGGTTATAAATGGTGCTGTGATAACCCTTACTTATTTCATGGTCCTGAGTACTACAGGTTAACCGTTCAGATGGAAGATAAGGACAGGCAGGGAAAGTTTTAAAAGAAGTGCTTTATACTGTTAGCCAGGTTTATACAAACTATCATTTTCTCAGCAAATGCTGTTTGTTCCGCTTCCTTCTTTTCTTGCCCGTTTTCCGTTGATTCATGTGTGTCTAACTTAAAGCTTCCTCTTGGGATGCACGTTCTTTGCTCCTGCCGTGGAAGGTGCACAGCAAAGCAGATTGCCTCTCCTTGCCACCCTGACCGCTGCCTTGTCCATTTGTAGCATCTCAGGGCCTTTTCTGTTGTTTGATGTTATTGTCTTGAATGCTACACTCTAGCAAGACTTGAGTCACTTCCTTCCTTGAAGGCTGAATGAGCAGCTAGGAGTTTGTGCTCCCTTTGTGCACCGCGTAGGTGGAGGGTTACCTGAAGGATTAGGGCTCCTTTGAAATCTTAATGCCAAGGCCGGCTCAGAAGGTGCTCAAATACTTAACTCTTCTGGACAAAATTTGCTTAAGATGGGTGGGGGCACAGATACTTTTGAAGTCCATTTGTGGTGCTCGTGAGCCTTATTAAAAACTCTGTCTTCCAGATAAACTGGAAGGGCTTCACCCAACCTCATTCATAGAAACTTAACTTTCAGTTTATTATTATTGTTGTCAGTATCCTTTCCTTGGGATTCTGATCCATGGTGTTTAAGTGATTATTTGAGACCATTGCTTAATGCCTGTTAAGCCATTGCTCTCATTTTCCTGGCTGATTTGCCCAGGAGTACTGTGAGCCTCTGATAATGAAAAGCAAAGCCACACTTCTAGTCTTAATACTACCAGATCAATGCAGAACGCGACGTTGTGGTGCGTCTGCGCAGAGCCTTCATGCTTCCCACCGCTCCTTAGAATGGCATAGTAGCACCTATGGTTAAGCCTACTGGATTCTCTTCTGTTTTGCTTTAGAGAAGACACTTCACTATGATTATGTCTTGTTTACCTTTGTGGCGCCGGGGCCAAAGCCAGGACCTCCCAGTTCCTAGGAGAGTCACATGCCCAGTCCTGATTTGTTTGTTTTTAATGAATCTAGTTCATTTAAAATGCATCATTCCTGTGCCCCCATGACAGACACTTTACTTATTCTTATTTTTTACATTGTCTCTCCCTTCTCCCACTGTGAAGACACTCAGAGAAGTAATTTACCTCACATTATTGCACAAGAAGTGGCGGCAGAGTTGGGATTCAAACCATGGACTGTTCATCCCCGTAACCAACCCTCTAACTACTGTGTTCTGTGGCTCCCAGGATTTGTCTTTGATACCCCATAACTTTTCATTATAAGGTTTGAAAGGGTTAGAATAAACTGTTAAAAATGGTAAACATGACATATATGCATTTCAGAGATTTTTGTGGATGTTGAAGAATTTTAAAATGTAACCCTTAGGCCATGCAGCTGGAGTAAGTAGCACCTATTGTCACCCCACTGTGAGTCTGATGGGATGAGAAAGGCCTATTTTTATTTGGGATTTCTAAGGCTCAGATTACTTGCCCAGATCCATCCTGCTCACCTAGTGTAAATTATTCCACTTCTGAAAGGTTGTCTGATGAAGTTCTGTGGATTCCAAAGGAAAAAAAGTATTGTACTCAATGAGAAATCTTGTTCATTTTGGTTTACCTCTTTATATCTGTGAGGCACCTTCCTTCAAGTCAGCTGCAAGACTGGATCCAGCAGGTTGTCTAAAGCAACTGGTATTGGCATAGAGCATTGCCTTAGCAGAGCGGGCACCCCTCCTGCCCTCGGAGAAGAGCTGAGTGCTTCTGCAGGTCTCTTCTGACTTTCTGTTAGCATGTGGGACTTGACTTCCTGCACTGGGCAACAGTCACCTCACTGTTTACCTTAGATACTGTTACTCGGATAATGCACTGTCAAGATCATGTAGTCTTATTTACAAAGATGGACTCAAAATGATTCATCAAGCTGAAGATGGAACTCAGTGATAGAGCGCTAGCTCAGCATGGACGAGGCCCCAGGTTCAGCCCTACAAGGAAACAGTGGAATGATCTACCCAGCTCCTTCATTCTGCTTCCTTAACTAACATTGCACAGAGCACACGTGGTAAGCCCACACAGGAAGGCAGTGCATGTGTAAGGCTCTTAGTTCAGTAAACCTGATCTGTCTCGGTGGGGAGCATCCTCAGCTGGTCCCTCCACTTCAGATGTTGAAGAGCATGTAAAACAACAAAAACATACTCTGGTTTTTTTTTTCCCTTAAAAAACCAAACATCAGCCATCTTTTGCTATCCTGTATACAACCAATTAGCGTCCTTGCCACTGAGGTGTTGTTCTTTTTCCAGA